ATTGACGTTGCCGTTTTCCGTAAAGGTGAATCTAAAACTCTAATGGACTTTTGCTTTGATATGTTACACTTCATTGAGAAAACAGTGTCCGGCACCTGGAAACTGCTAAACCAAGAGAGATCTAAAAAGTCCTTAACTTGCACATGCACCATCGATCAGCGAGACTCGAGCGAGCGATCATCGTCATTCAGCTAAATAAATATGAGTCAAGAGATCATATAACAGAACAGGCCAAGCTTGTCGTGCCTAGAAAAGGGAAGGGAGTTAAAAAGAAAAAGGGTAAAAAAGACAACAAATTCTGTATCGCGTCGCCGTTAACTTGACCATAACACATCAATCATATAAGTTTAATAAACTATGTATTTGTTAAAGCAAACTGCAATTGTCTCTTTGCGACCAGATGGCGGAATTTAACAATTTATGGACAGGATCGGAAAAAATGGAGTAATAACTACAAATAGATATGTTGGCGTTTTTTAATGGTACTCCGTACTGCCAACGCCAGTAATACTGAAATACGAGATTATTGCCAGTTGTTTTTGGTCAAACATTTTATCAACATATAAGCGCTGATTAAAATTAACTGCTGGCGCCACCGGTCTGACAAACTTGAATTTCTGCATTTACGTTTCTAAGTAATGTATCTAATTGTTCTAATCTGAGGCTCTTTGACGTTCCTGAAAACATATTTAAACATATCCTTTATTTGCTTTATTGAGCAAAACATTCACGTAATTTATAAAAACATCTTCATTGGCAACCTACTCAGACAAGCTCAGAATTAAGAAGCTTTTTGACACCAAAAGTTGGTAAACATGTAACCGATCAAAGGAGCTGAAAATTTTGAGGTGCGTACGCTATAAAACTTTTTAACAAGAATGGCAGATAGAGATGTTTGTAACTACAATATTTCGTAATCATTTATCGATTTTGATCATCCCGACAGAGGACATATTCATGTCCAACGGCCACAAGTGCGCCGTTTGTGAAATATTCACCTGTTAGGGTAAGGACTTAAAAGACTCTTTCCGCTTCTCCCTACCTCGCTTTTTCTCCCCAGAAATGCTTAATCCTTAGTAGTCAGGCTAACGAGTTGTGAATTGCTAGAGAACGAGTTGAATTTGCGACTTGGACTGACAGGGCCATTTTAACTTTGGGTGAAAGTGGTCAGTTAAAATTGTGAGTTACTTTGTAAAGCCAAACAACATTGTAGTGTTTACTTTTATGTAAGGTACGTCACGGCTCATCAGTGAATTAGAATTGCGATTGGTTAAGTTTGAGTGAGTGAAGTCGTATCAGGTCAAGTCAGGTTTATTTCTCTTTCCAATGAAAGAAACAGAAATTAATGAAAAGAATAAGTATTTGCATTTCGTGAGACAGGCATGTAGACAACAGAAACGATAAAAGATAATAATAATAATAATAATAATAATAATAATAATAATAATAATAATAATAATAATAATAATAATAATAATAATAATTTATTCACTTAATATAGCGCCTTTAGACATTAAAATGATCAAAAGCGCTAGAGGTAGATCAAAGATAGTTTGACAGTTGTAATAGTCGGCTTAATTGTCCTTTAAATTGACTCCTACAAAGGTACTGTTTTTATTTATTCACTGGTTCCAGTAGCAACGATTGAGTATTTCCAGTAAAGCGAACAGAAAATTCGCCATGATAATTTGGGAAGAAAATAATTGGAGTGCTCATCTCTAATATAAAAGAAATGAATCTTTAGAAACAGGCTTAAAATAACTTTGAAATATACTTCAGGCAGCTTATGATTCAAAAAAATCATAAACAATAATAAACATATATGTCTATAAAAACGAAATATAAAGTCATTGAAGTATAGTTAACTGTTTAATTATTTGTTTTTTATTACACTTTTATTGTTTCATATTTTTATCAGGTTTTTAGTTCTTTATTTCGAGGCTAAATTTATACAGTTTCACTGATGTAAAACAGAGCAGAAGTTGGAATCAGAATACTATATATCCTTGACGGAAAGACTGATAGCGGTCGGCTAGCGCGATGAACACTCTGCATGAACACTGTAGCTCAGTCGATTGATACCAGCTGAAAATCGTAGCAGTGTTTGAAAGCAATTCTTAGCGCTTCATGATCAAACGCTTTCATTGCAATATTAGCCACATAATGTATAAGTATAAAGATTATTCTAAAAGAACAACGCACAAAAAGGCATAAACAGGACCCCGTCACTATGGCATAAATTTCAACTGCTTATCAGCAAATAAAAAAATTCCTTCCGAGTCGTAGCGTCGGGTGTTCCGCAAAACAAACGTTTTCGATTCAACACATAAAGAAACCAGATGTTAAATGGAAAATTCAGGGAACACTTTATTTTTAAAAGTTCAATTCTTAAACATCTACGCTCATACAGAAAAGATACAAGGAACATTCCCAGTGAACTACATCAGTAAAGATCGCGCAGCCTGTTGTCAGTACTTTCTGCAATACAACTACGTATCGGAGACATAAGTCGAATGCCTGTTAAAACGTTTCATGTTCGATGGATTGTTTCCTCAAACCTCACACGACTTCCTGTACAACAAAAGACTGCTGGGTTTTTTCCTTCTGATCCCAGGCACTCGATAAATTAAATTGTTGCAGACAATCGGAAGTCATGTCGCAGATCAGCTTCACTCGCAGCTGCGTTCCATTAGTAGTCCACGGCTGTATCGGGGAAACCCTTTTCAACTCTCTTTACATACTTATTGTTTAAAAAATGGTTTACCTGGTGCCGACTCAATATTTTTTAATACAGTTGCAACTCATCAATCATTTTTTTAAATAGTTTAACAAACGAGAATGGAGTTAGTAACAAAAAGGTGTAACCGTGCACAGCAGCATCATAATGTTTGCGTGTTTCATTTACTTCAAAAGCTTGTCCGTTTTCTCTTTGCGGCTGTTTAGAACCTTTCTTTATTCATTGTCACGGAATGGAGCCATGTTTCAGACGGTTTTAACCTTCGAGCTGCCGAAATTGACCTTTTTCTGCTGCGATGGTTGCGGATTTACAAGTACAAGCTTGCAAATCGGGACAACTTTATTTATCATGCTCTGCTATATCTTGATATTAAAGTGTGAAAACATGGAACGGTTATCCAGACAGTTTTAGCTCTTCTTAAGCTTTAGAAATTTCTAGGCAATATTTGCTCCTTCGAACAGTTATTTTACAGAATATAGTCGCTGGGTGCCCCTGAGTTTTGTAAAGATAGTCGTTTTCAGTGAGGATCACATATGATATAGGATCGAAACGCACCAATCATCATCAGTTTGGATGCTTCGGCGAGGTCTGCCAGTCGAATTTTCTTACTTCATCAAAGATTCCTTGTATTTGAAAATGTGTATTTCTTTTGTTTTCTCTTTTTCCTTCAAAAAGTGGGGACTGTGTTTCAAATTACGCATCAGTTGGGATATATTTTTTTAAGTTCTTTTTGTTTTTTCTTTTTTGAGCGTCGCATATACGAGTCAGTAAATCAATTTTCTTTGTTGCTATCTAGACTGCAAGGTTATCCCAGTGTAGAGCACCTTTATCTGGCCGATTCATTGCTTGCAAGAGCTGGTTCATAGAAGCACTTATCTATTTACGACATTGTCCTCAGAAATTTTGTTTTCTTCTAATTCGATCCAGTAACTGTCTGATATATTACACAATGTTTCAAGCGCATCAGTTGCCTAGTTTTTGTTTATTTCGTGTAGCATGCCATGTATACAACTGAGGAAGAGCCAGCAAATAAACTTTATTTTTGTTGGTTTTTAAATACGGCTACAAGGTTATCCCTTGTAGACCAGTTTATTTCTTTCATTTGGCCGGTTCATCGCTCAAGAGTTGGTACATAAAAGCACTCTTATTTATGACTCTGTCCATTCACAATTTCACTTAAAATGTTTGTGTAATATTATTACTATTTTATCGCATTTTTCTCGGTTCTCAGAGACTGTTCAGTTCGTTATTGGATTGTGTTCGGAAAGTGCTGATTTTAGCCATTTTTGACAGAGAAAAACCACTTGTTTCCCTATCACCGACAATAATTTTGTACTGCCTCTGTAAATTAACTGAAAACCACCGGGTATTGCATGGAATTTTTGTTTTGAATACAGAACAAAAATTATTGAAAGTTTATGGCAACAGCATGCAAGCTAGCAGACTCTACTGATGTATCAGTTAATCTGCATAACGAGAGACTCGGGTTCAGTCTGACCTCATACACTCAGCTACACTGCATACGTAGTGGATCAATAGGGTTAGTACTTATAGTTAGCCTAGATGACCATTTTTGATTTCTCTGTTTCACGGTTTCCGCATCTATGGGACGATACACTTTTTGTAATAAGTGAATTAAGGGAGTTATTGACTGGAAATAGCTCTGAAAATTGTAGTAACATCAAACGTATTTGAGCCTGCAGCTGCTTGGATCTTTCTCTAAAAATACATCAGTATAGGGGAGATAAAAAAACTGTCTTATATTTCGTTTTTTTAAACTTGAATGCAGGGCTTTTGATATTGACTTTGGTGCAATTCAATAAACTCAAGAATATGGTCTGCGATCGGATAAATTTCCTGAGGGTACTTCTTTATCTAAGTTGTCCCCGGGTTACTATTCTATATATTAACTTACTGATAGGACCATATCATACTTATCCCTATTATTTTATAGCTATGCCCGTTAGGTATGTATATAATCTGTATAGCGCTATATACCCCTTTTGGTCTGAAAATGGGGGAGACAATTTATCCCCAGTTTTAACCTGAAATAAAACAGAGTAAGGAAAGTAAAATTTGTTTGTATGAATAGGGTAAAGGATTTAGGAATCATATTACGGCGCACAGCCCCACCGCAATTTCCAGGGCCTCCACATCCCACCACGACTCGTGGTTATGCATCGGTTCTCCTTCACCAACGAAATTCATTTTTATATGTCAATGAATATTATTCAATATTATTTTATTTTTACAAGCTTGGACGATGGCTGACATGACAACATTGATAGTTATCAGTTCCTTTATCATGTTCCCAGCTGTGATGATGGCACAGGAAGTTGTAAACCATGGAGGTAATGACTAATGACATCAGGACCAAAATTTTATTGCGCACCTGTTTGTAGGCATTATGTTTAAGCACCCTGTTGCTGTTTCATACACAGAAAGCTGTCAAAAAATCATTCTGAAGTAAAAAAAAATTGAAATAATGATTTTTACACATAAAAAATGTGCGATCAAGACTTCAAAACCAGCCAAACGCCTTCGTTCAGGACTGATCCTCTGGTTTACTTTCTTAATAGATTTTAAATGAATTTGTATCTTAGAAAATCGTGCTATTATTATTATTATTATTATTATTATTATCATCATCTTCATTTTTCTATTGTTATAAAATTATAATTATTCCTGTTCCTATACTACCGTGGCGAAGGTTTATAATAGGGAGCAAGTAGGGAGCTTATAAAGCAACAACGACGGCGACGGTTACAAAAACGTCAATATTGATATCTGTATTGTACTCTGGTTATTGACCTGATTAGACTACGAGTAGTCCCCATTTTTCCTCAGGGATAGTAGAGCGAGCGAAACGCGGGCGCGCGTGAAAATCACCCCACGCGAGAAAAGGCGACACGCGGCGGGGAGAGAGAAAAATGAGGGTCCCTCATTTTTCTCTCTCCTTGCCGCGATGTGATTGGTCCTGTGTCAGTTAAGCCGTGTTGTTATTGGTTATGAAGACTCGGGTCGTTTCGATCGGTCTTTTGTCACAGTTTAACAGCGACGATCCAGCGACAGGAAATGGTGATGTCAACAATCACACTTCTTCTGAACACCATTTCCACACGAAACATTAAATCGACCGGGACTCTGCGACACGTATTTCGCATTCTACAGACTACCATAACTAGCACTCATTTTAGAAAGCTGGCTTACTAAATTAGACCAAAAGCCACTGGAATGGCAGTCAACGGGCACGGTACAAACGACTTATGGCGGACTCAAGCAAAACTGACAAAAACAGAAGTGACTTTATAGGCAAGAGACAATTTGACTAACAATAAACGACTGTAACAACAAACGACTTTGACTATGAAGATGACTACCCGACACAGTCCTATTCAGGACTACACCCTGACGATCATGCTTCACCTGCATATGGATTTATAATTACTGTTCATTTATTGTTTTGCTGTTTCGCAGTTTGTCCCGTTCCGAGGAATAAAGAAGAAGAGGAGATAATTAAAGAGCAGGAAAAAAACAGAGAAGAAATGGAAGAGATCATGAGAGAGATTGAAATCAGTTGTTTAGGTGAGTGATAAAAAACCATGGGATGAATAATTAAGTACAAGTAAAAATAACTTAAGGAGGGTTGGGGTCGTTTTTGTTATACAAAGAACAATGTAAATTATGCATTTGTGAACCCGTTCTCTTCATTGGAAGCGTTGTCGCTCGTGGGACGAAAAAAATCCCACGCGGATACCCGGGGGAGTGGGGGGTGTACTCCGGATTTCAAGAGACAGATCCTTAGAGCTTTTGTTCCAACGCCTGCTCTCCATTGTATATACAACGTTCCTCATTCAATCTCAATTCGTTTAATAGTGATATTGCCTGGGGTAATTGTGGAAAACGTTTTTTGACAGGCTACAGAAGCTTCAGAACCGCGCTGTTCGTGTTCTAACCTTTTCTAGGTATGATGCTTATACCAACCGCTTATTTAAACAACTTAACTGGAAAGACTTGAGCACCCAGTTTCAAATACAAAAAGCCCTAACGGTTCACAAGTCTTTAAATGATCTTGTTCCAGGATATCTATCCTGTAAATTGTTAAACGATGTGAAACACGCTACTCCCTAAGGGACTCTGTCAACAAACTGAGTGGGAGCTAACTTCATGAAGAACAGCTTCAGTCAAGCGGAGAAGTCAAATGAGAGGGCTTTTAAATTTTTAAAAATACTAATAAACTGCACTGAAGCACACGTACCATCTCTGCGGTATGGCCAGTACCTTATGCGTGCACTCAACCATATCACCCGAGCAGTGACAACCATGGAAACGGCTGGGTTGCCCTTATTGGGGCTCGTCAGCTTGGCATAGCCGTTGGGTCAATTAGCGGGAGATAGCTGGCGTATCAAAGACCAATTACTGCGTAGGCGAGTGCAAGCAATGCTTTAATCGTCAGCTCCACCGTAAACAAGAGGTAGCTGTCGGTTGGGAACTGCAAAACAGTTCTCCCACGGCATGCGTATGGAGATGGTATCAGAAATATTGACCTGTGTGCCCAAATAAATTTGAAACAATACCAATTAACTGCATTGAAGCACACGTATCAACTCCGCGGTATGGCCAGTACTTTACGCATGCGCACAACCATGAGCCCCAAGAAGGGCGAAACAGCTGTCCATGGCTGCCACTGCCGGGGTGATATGGTTGTGCGCATGCGTAAGGTACTGACCATACCGCCGAGTTGGTACGTGTGCTTCGGTGCAGTTAATTGGTATTGTTTCTAAATCTTTAATTCAATTTAAACGATTAGCTCGTCTGAATTTCTGATTTTTTAAGTACTGTGTAGATAGCCTGCGCGCAGACGAAATTAAACTCTGGTTAACTCCGTCTGCGAAACAGCGCCGAAATCCTTGTTCTGGACTTCCAGCTGTGTACCCAGATTTGAGTACGCGCCACGATTGGCCAGTTAAAAAAGGCCTTTGTTTTGTTTGTCGTGATCGCCAATCAGGTTGAAGGGGAATTCGAAACGCACTTCCGGTAATTCGTTGAGTCCGTTGGGGGTCCAGAACAAGGATCTCTGCGCTGCTTCGCAGACGGTACTAATCAGAGTTTAGTTATCGTCTGCACGCAGGCTATGTGTATAAGACGGCATTCATGAAAAACAGGTCTTAGTTAGGTTAGTTATATATAGTTTTGCATATTGATTAGGGTAGTTAGGTTTATTTAAGATTTTTTATACTCCTGGTGAATTTTACCGTGTTTAAATAAAGAATTATTCTTTTCTATTCCTATCAGTTGAAATCGGGAGTACCCCCCCCCCCCCACATCCCTGGCGCCGATGCAAAAGCGGAAGTCACTGGACAGTGTACAGGGGCACCCAACGAGAAATTTTAAAACAACAACAAAGCATGAATAAAGCTTTCTGAAGCCATTTTCAGCATTTTGAGAGATTGCTACTAAAAATTAATCTGTTGCTCACTCCCAGGAAGACTGATAGAAAAGTACCTAGCCTGCAAGGTGCACGTACAACCGACAACCTGGCTTACTGGAAGTTTCCCAGCAGGCGTATGTCCAGACATTACTGGCCAGTTTTGGTGTGGTCATAGGGCAAAATTCACCCCTCAGCAGTGGGGGTTGGGGGGGGGGTCTGGTGGGGTTTCTGATCCATAAAACATAGTAACTATTCGGAATATCAAATCCCCTCAGAACACATTTTTTTCTTAGCAATACTTTCCTTCCAATTACATATTATTTCTTTCACATCTCCCAGCCAGCAAAAATTGGCCCGAAGAACAGATATTTTGAGGAACAGATCCATTGGGTGCCCCTGAGTGTAGCCTAGCAGCACTATACGATGCGTCCTTAGGAGTGCAAAGTTTCTTGATTGAAGTTTTGAGACTAACGTTCCAAGTCCTTCAACAAACTTGTTTAGTAAATCACGCCGTGGTTGGTGACATTGAACGAAGAGTATTCATATAGATTATAATAATTTGAACTCAATTGAACTGTTGCAAATAAATAATTTAAACAACTCTTGATCGGCTGAAAGTGAAAACTGACTTTGCAGGTGCATTACTTTACGTCAAACAAATTCTTTTACCTACCTGTCATTTGTTGATTTGTAGATGAGTGTAAAACAGGACAACATAACTGCCACGATGATGCAGACTGCACCAACACCAAGCGTTCCTTCACTTGTACTTGTAAGCCAGGATATATTGGGGATGGTGTTAACTGTGCAGGTAGCAAACCATACGGAGCTTAAACTAGCAGGATTTCATCTTAAGCTGTGTGCTATTCCATACCATAAAGATTAGAGCCAATCAGAAAGCTGGAAACCGGTTTCATTTTTAGTCAGTGGTATGTCTCAGATCGGTAGTTTCTTGGTGTTGTGGACGCGTGCAACCACAAAATTACGTAATACAAAAGATTAACAAGACACTGAACAATATCCACACCACATAACAGTAGCTAACCAACAATAGTTTCCTCATCACCAAGAAAAACGTACCCCACAGGTCGTATCCATGAAAAATGTCTGGTGTTAGTTGCAGCCTCCAGATTCCCCGTAGCCTGCGAACAGACTCTCATGTGCGAGTTCGAGGGACATTTTGGCGCGTGCATTTCCTAGCCCTATTATTCTGGGCGTCTTTGCGTGCTCGAGCCGCCAAAATTTTCTTTTTCGCAGGCTAAAATCCCCCAGCGAAAGCTGTCCAAGTGTGCAACATGTAAAACTGAGTCTACATTAAAATCGAACAAAGTCACTTGATTATTCAGCATTAACTCTTGATTGCAGACATAGACGAGTGTGAGACTGGAAACCACCTATGTGACATCGAGATTTCAGAGTGCGAAAACAATAAAGGATCTTACAAGTGTGCTTGCAAAAGTGGATATGAAGATATATGTGCAGGTAAATATACCACCGAGCACTTCAAGATATGCTTATTGAAATGTATACTTTAAAAATGTCTTCTTCTTTTCTCGGGTTTACGCGGGGTGAATCAGGTTGAAATGATAAAGGCATCGACAAAATAGGAACGTGGACGGCATATTATGATGCTTAACAGATCTACGGTTTGATAATTCAGCGTTAACTCTTAATTTGCAGACAGAAACGAGTGTGAGACAGGAAAACACAACTGTAACGCCACCAGTTCATTGTGCCACAACACTAAACGATCCTTTTAGTGTGCTTGCAGGGAAGGGTATTTCGAAAATGCCGTTGTTTAGTAAATCACGCCGTGGTTGGTGACATTGAACGAAGAGTATTCATATAGATTATAATAATTTGAACTCAATTGGACTGTTGCAAATAAATAATATAAACAACTCTTGATCGGCTGACAGTGAAAACTGACTTTGCAGGTGGATTACTTTACCTCAATTAAGTTCTTATACCTAACTTCCATTTGCTGATTTGTAGATTGGTGTAATCGAGGACGACATAACTGCCACGATGATGCAGACTGCACCAACACCAAAAGTCTCTTCACTTGTACTTGTAAGCCAGGATATACTGGGGATGGTGTTAACTGTGCAGGTAGCAAACCTGATAAGAGGCTTAAACTAACAGGATTTCATCTTTAGTTTTATGCTATTCCATACCATAAAGATTAGAGCCAATCAGAAAGCTGGAAACCGGTTTCATATTTGGCCAGTGGTATGTGTCAGATCGGTAGCTTCTTCGTGTTGTGGACGGGTGCAATCACAAAATGACGTCATACAAAAGATTAAAAAGACACTGAACAATATCTACACAACATAACAATAGCTAACCAATAATAGTTTCCCCATCATCAAGAAACACCCCACAGGTCGTATCCATGAAAAATGTCTGGTGTTAGTTGCAGCCTCTAAATCGAATATCGTAATATACCGAGCACTTCAAGATATCTTAATTGAAATGGGTACTTAAATATATCTTCTTTTTTTCAATTTTCCTTTTCGCGGGCTAAATTCCCCCAGCGAAAGCTTTCCAAGTGTGCAACATGTAAATTGGTTTATCATTTGTATTTTTTAGTTATTTGGCATTCAATCTAACTTCCTTTTTTGTTTTGTCCACTACAAAAATTTATCATTCTTTCGACCGTAAAAATATGATATATATATCTATCCTTATTGGATAGAATCGACACAAAAATCGAACCCGATTGATAATTCAGCATTAACTCTTGATTTGCAGACATAAACGAGTGTGAAACTGGAAACAACCAATGTGACCCCGATACTTCACTGTGCATTAACACTAAAGGATCTTACAAGTGTGTCTGCAAGTCGGGTTTTTCCGAAAGTGGACATGAACATAAATGTGCAGGTAAATATACCACCGAGCACTTCAAGATATCAATTGAAATGGATACTTTAAAAATGTCTTCTTCTTTTGTCGAATTTAAGTGGGGTGAATCAGGTTGAAATGATAAAAGCATCGTTAAAATAGGAACGTATATTTGATAATTCAGCATTAATTCTTAATTTTCAGACATAAACGAGTGCGAGACAGGAAAACACAATTGTAACGCCACCAGTTCATTGTGCCAAAACACTAAAGGATCATTTAGGTGCGTTTGCAGGGAAGGGTATTCCGAAAGTGCACCTGAACATAATTGTACAGGTAAATATACTACCGAGCACTTCAAGATATGTTAATTGAAATGGGTACTTAAATATATCTTCTCCTTTTCAGGCACGGGTTTACGTGAATCAGGTTTAACAGAAATTGTGTAATTCATCAAAAACTCTCGTTTTCTTTTCTTAGTTTGTCCATTTTTTTTCTTTTGCTTTGCTGTGAAAATAGAGATTGAATTAAAGAGATCGGAACTAACTACTTGAAGAGCGCAAAATCGAGTGACGCACTCGCTCGAGGGTCATGCGTACTGTCCTTCAATGAATGACAGAATGACGCATTGTCATGTTTTTTTTTTTACAGTGTTGTCAACTTGCAAGGAAATTTATAAAACGACTTTGTGAGTACAGCATACGTGATTACTATGGTGTTACCAACATTTTTTACTTCTTTTTTCGTCTCGATATAACACACAACTTTTCTCATATCATAGTAAGTACCAGTTTCTTCAGGTTCGGCCTTTAGTCAAGGGCTTTCTTTGCGTACAATGTAACCCCCCCCGATTAACTGTTTTTAAAAGCTTCGTCATGTGGAGCACTATGTCAGTCAGTGTTATCTGGAAAAGGTGACTCCAATGGGTTTTACTAGCAGCAAAAACTCCCAAGTTTGAGCTTTAATTACATATTGCGGACAAAGAGCGCGGAAAAATGAAATCATGGCTTTGATAGACATAATGGAAATCTTGCTAGGACCAGTGTCAATACCAAATTTTAAAAGAAATTTATCGAACATTTTCGCAGTTGTTCTCGCGTTTATAGAAGTATGACACCACAAACAAACAAGCACAACACAAACAAATAAAACAAATAAATTAGAAAGACGGAAGTAAACAGGAAACGCAAAGAGCCTGAGTTCTCGCAAGCCGCCATGTGAGTGCTTTTGATACAGATGCAATGGACAGCACAGAAGTAAGGCGATTAATTGAACGCTATTTTCACCATGGACTTCAAAACCAAGTTGTTGTTGATTGCGTTAATAATCGACAAGCAGTCACAATGAATCCTTCAACTTTGAAACGACGGCTTCGTGACTACGGTCTCAGCAGACGTAGCGTGGACGTTAGCGATCGTGGTTACAGAGCAGTGTGGCACTAGCTAAGATTGAATCATCACATCCATGTGCCAAAAGAAAGGGTTGCCAATATTCTTCGTGAGCTAAATCCAGCTGGAACAAGACTGACACAGAAGGGTACGGTACAAAATCCTTTGGTTGGAAGTTGAAAGGTCAAATAACAGGCCTGAGGTCCCTTCAATGTGTAAAAGAAAATGCTGGTTGTCCACGCCTTGGTAGAATTGATCGTGGCACCGAAAATGGAACTTTGGAAGCGTGTACATTTACTTCAGACAAGAAGGCAAAGGTCTCGCTGATCTCTGCACATTTCGTCTACCACCAGCAGGGAGAAGTGAGAAAAAAATTCACTGGTGCTCATTTCTTAATTCTCAGAACTTGTCTTTTGCATTTATAATCATATTGTAATGATAAATGTGAAGCAGATCGCACACTTGAAAGCATATTTAGAAAAATAAAATAACTCAGGAGGAAGAAAAAGGGCGATATACTATGACTTTACTATGCCCCGTTTTAACACGGTGAAATACGAGAAACTCTCTCTGAAATAACTGGGACCTTTCTTGTGGTCCAGGCTAACAAAAGAGGAAAGTGACAAGAACAGCTTGGGTGTTTTTAGACGTTGTATTAAGAAAAGATTTAGCAAATTTAATTTCAGATGGCGGATGTAAAAACTGTCTTTTTTGCAATAGTTGAATTAATCACTTATGCTACTTTAGTTTAATTATTATTAATATTAATTGTTATATGTTACTAGGCAACCACTATCTTTGTAAGTACCTTTGTATCACCTTTACATCTTATTGTACAAACTTATTTTATTATAAGCAGCGCCTTCCAAACTAAAATGGGGCCTTCCAATTTGGAAAATTCAGAAGAGTATTGGTATTTGATGCTGAAAAAGTTTGTGTTTCTGAAAGGTTTTCGCTAATTAGAAGGAGAAAAAAAAGTGTTCAGTTGTGTCCACAAGAAACAACACATCCAATTTTCCAATTCTATCAAATTGTGCAATTTCATGTGAAAGAGATCGTACACCCATTGCGCTTTCTTTCTTGGAGAGATTCAGAATTTCTGATCCCCCGGCCCGTACCTTAACAGAACAAAACAGTAATCTATTTTTAATTCCAGAAGGAGTCAGAATTTCTGATCCCCCATCATGACAAAGGACAAAAACGGCTATCTGTTCCTAGTTATAAAAGTATCCAGAATTTCTGATCCCCCGGCCCATAGCTTGACAGAACAAAACAGTAATCTATTTTTAATTCCTCAAGGATTCAGAATTTTTGATCCCCAATCACGGCAAGGGACAAAAATGGATATCTGTTCATGGTCGTCAAGGTATTTAGAATTTCTGATCCCCCATCACGATCACGGCAAGGGACAAAAATGACTATCTGTTCATGCTTGTCAAAGTATTCAGAATTTCTGACCCCCCAAGCAACTTAAAAGAGAAACAGTGTTAAATCACATCATACATCACCTTTATTTTACCTCGGATTTTCCGTAGTGTAGCTCTTGAAGCTAACATCTCCGAGATAGAAGAAAATAAATAATAAACAATAGTAATAATA